TCTTCCCGTGAGTCCCTGATCTTGATCGTACACATTTGCGTGCATGATTAGTGTACGATTGAATCGGGGGCGTCACACATAGACACTAATTAAAACATAAAACCACATCTAACCAGAGGCTGGATGAATTATTTAATTCAAAAAGCAAGGAAAAATATTGGGTTGCCTCCCAGCAAGTGCTTTTCTTTAAAGCCTTTTAGCTAGGAATTGGAATTTCGATGATGCTCACATGAAAGACAAGAATTGAAGCACGATGGGAGCATCATAAAACATGTGACAAACAAGTTTAATCCTAACATGCTTCCTATGCATAGGGATTTTATAAGCAACAAATTATCAATACAAGCAAAAACCACCATATGCAAGGAAGAAGAAAGAAACATTAGCAATTTCAACATAACGAGAGGTGATTTAGTGACATGAAAACTTCTACAACCATATTTTCCTCTCTCATAATAATTACATCTAGGATCATAAGAAAATTCAACAATATAGCTATCACATAACATATTCTCAACATGATTCACACGCATGCGAAGTTGACACTCTTCCAAAATAGTGGGATTAACATTAACTAAAGTCATGACCTCTCCAAACCCATTTTTATCAAAAATTTCATAAGATTGAACATACTCCAAACATGTGGGATCTAAATTTAACACTCTTCCAAACCCACTTTCAATATTATTGGAAACATTTTCATCATAAGGCTTAAACAAATCTTCAAGATCATAAGAAGAATCACCCCAATCATGATCATTGCAACAAGCAGTGGACATGGCAAAACTAGCATCCCCAAGCTTAGGGTTTTGCATATCATTAACACAATTGACATTAATAGAATTTATAATAATATCATTGCAATCATGCTTTTGATTCAAGGAACTATCAAGTATGGGTGCAATAGCAATACTCTCATGTTTAACATAAGGAACTATAGCAAATTCATCTCCAGAAATATTGATATCATGGCCACAAGAATAGCAAGAATCATGTTCATCAAGGGATATTTCAATCAAATCATAGGAATCATAACTATCTATAGATTCATTCATATCATTATTTTCTTCCAAAGCAACGGTCATTCTCTCAATAAATTCTTTGACATAGGCATTGTGAGCATAGTTTTCATAGCAATATTTAAGTATGTCAAAATTTTCAGATTTGTAAAGAGTAATATCATACTTTTCAATCAAAGAAGCAACTTCATAAGAACCCTTAAAAGCAACAAATTCTTCAATTTGTTCAATATCATAGTAACTGTAAACACCCTTCTCATAAGAAGATAAGATTTCATTATCATTAAACTCACATAGGTAGGGAAGGTGTTTTTAGGGTTCTTAGAGCAACAAGTAAAATCATAAATTTCACAAATATTCCAAGCAAAGCATAGCAAACAATTTATTTCATTCCATAAGAGCTTCCCCTTTTCAATCAAACGATGACGCACAAAATGAGCATGCTTATCTAACGATTTTCCCTCAACTAAACTAGTTGGGGTTTCAGCACAAGCACATATAGATCGAAGATGATAGAAGTAGAAAACTTTAAGTGGATCCATATCAATAAATTTTTAGCAAGCAAAGATGCAAGCAAAAAGAAGGCACATGGAAACACAAATGAAATTTCGAAAATCATTTTAGAAGTAGGAGAGAGGAAAACGAGAGGCAAATGGCGAACAATGTAATGCGAGGGATGAGAGTCTATGATGGGTACTTGGTATGTACTGGCTTGGCGTAGATCTCCCCGGCAACAGCGCCAGAAATCCTTCTTGCTACCTCTTGAGCCCGCGTTGGTTTTTCCCTTGAAGAGGAAAGAGTGATGCAGCAAAGTAGCATAAGTATTTCCCTTAGTTTTGAGAACCAAGGTATCAATCCAGTAGGAGACAACGCGCAAGCCACCGAATACCTACACAAACAAACACCAACCTTGCACCCAACGTCAATAAAGGGGTTGTCAATCCCTTCACGGTTATTTGCAACGTGAGATCTGATAGAGATGGATAAACTGTAAAGTAATATTTTTGGTATTTTTGGTTTATGGAACTGAAAGTAAAAGATTGCAAAATAAAGTAAATAGGAAACTAGAATTGTAGATCGGAAACTTATATGATGGAAAATAGATCTCGGGGCCATAGGTTTCACTAGAGGCTTCTCTCAAGATAGAAATTATTACGGTGGGTGAACAAATTACTGCCGAGCAATTGATAGAAAAGCGCAAACTTATGATGATATCTAAGGCAATGGTCATGAATATAGGCATCACGTCCGTGTCAAGTAGACCGAAACGTTTCTGCATCTACTACTATTACTCCACACATCGACCGCTATCTAGCATGCATCTAGAGTATTAAGTTCATAAAGAACGGAGTAACACCTTAAGCAAGATAACATGATGTAGAGGAATTAACTCAAACAATATGATGAAAACCCCATCTTTTTATCCTCGATGGAAACAATAGAATACGTGTCAGTTCCCCTTCTGTCACTAGGATCGAGCACCGCAAGATTGAGCCCAAAGCTAAGCACTTCTCCCATTGCAGGAAAAACCAATCTAGTTGGCCAAACCAAATTGATAGTTCGAAGAGACTTGCAAAGATATCAAATCATGCATAAAAGAATTCAAAGGAGATTCAAATAATATTCATAGATAAGATGATCATAAATCCACAATTCATTGGATCTCGGCAAACACACCGCAAAAGAGTATTACATCGAATAGATCTCCAAGAACATCGAGGAGAACTTTGTATTGAGAATCAAAGAGAGAGAATAAGCCATCTAGCTACTAGCTATGGACCCGTAGGTCTGAGGTAAACTACTCACGCTTCATCTGAGAGGCAATGGTGTTGATGTAGAAGCCCCCCGTGATCGAATCGCCCTCCGGCAGGATGCCGGAAAAGGCCCCTAGATGGGATCTCACAGGGACAGAAGGTTGTAGCATTATAAAAGTGGTTTCGTGGCTCCCGTGGAAGTTTTCGGGGCATATGAGAATATATAGAAGGAAGATCTAGGTCAGGGGGTCACCGAGGGGCCCACAAGGTTGGGGGGCGTGCCCTCCACCCTTGTGGCCGCCTCGTGGCTCTTTTGACTTGCACTCCAAGTCTCCTGGGTGGCTTCTGGTCCAAGAAAAATCACTGCGAAAGTTTATTTCGTTTGGACTCCGTTTGGTATTCCTTTTTTGCGAAACTCTAAAACAAGGTAAAAAACAAAAACTGACACTGGGCTCTAGGTTAATAGGTTAGTCCCAAAAATCATATAAAATAGCATATTAATGCATATAAAACATCCCAAATAGATAATATAATAGCATGGAACAATAAAAAATTATAGATACGTTGGAGACGTATCAGTGATCAATTCGCATACATTCTAGATGCCTAATATAGATAGTTCTTGCTTTGGCGTAAGAAGTAAGAACTCAAAAACTGCCTCTTCCGCACGATCGATAGCACATGCTTGGCCTCGTGCAATCCCAGCTTCTCCCAAACCTCTTTCACCTTCTGACACAAAAACAACACGTGTTTTGTATATTATGGCCCATTCAAACATGATGGGTAGGTGGGCGAAACTTTCATATGTTTATTAGCAAGCGTAACATGGCACGGGAGGGTTCCATGCAATGTACACCAAATGAAAATTTTCACCTTTGCTGGACAAGACAATTGCCAAATCTTACCCCAAATAGTATTGGCATTTGTTCTACCCATACCATTTGTGTGTTGCAATTTCCTCCCATGTTGTTTGTTCCATTCCTCCAAATAAGTCGAACAAACCGTGAACAATCCATTTTTTGTATAGCTCCTAGCAATGAAATTCATCATATTATGCATAGGGAGAGGAAAAACAAGCACCCTTTGAGTGTCAATTGGCCACAACATTTGTCTCACTAAATCTTCATCCCAAAAACTGGTGACTGGACTGATAAGATCAACAACTTTTGACAGAAGATGCTCTTTTCTAGGAGTAATAATTTTCCTATTCACACGGTTCGAGATCCATGCATCTCTCCAAATATCAATATTTTGTCCATTTCTAACTCTCCAAATATAACCATTTTTGAGAGAATCAACTACCACCATAATGCTTTGCCAAGTAAAAGAGAAACCCTTTTTAGACTTGCATTCATTAAGTCACCATCTGGAAAATATTTGGTTCTCAAAATGATGGCACATAGGGAATCAGGATTATCAAGCAGATGCCACACTTGTTTGGCTAACAAAGCCAGATTGAAACATTGTATATTTCGGAACTCCATCCTCGTTGGTCTTTTGAGACACACATCTTCCACCACGTCATTGAATGCATTCTCTATTGATTGTGTTCGTCACCCCACCAAGATTGCGGCATCGTGTCAATGATTCCCTTGCAACTTTTTTTAGGAATTTTAAAGAAGGACATGACATAAGTTGGGATAGCTTGTATAACCGATTTGAGCAAAATTTCCTTTCCTCCCGCGAATAATTTTCTTTCCATCCACTAATTTTCACAATAATTCAATCAATTAAGAATTGGAAACAATCATTTTTATCCATACCCACATTTGCAGGCAAACCCAAATATTTGTCAATGAGGGCTTCAGTCATAATATTCAGGATAGTACAAATTTGTGCCTTAGTCTCCCACTTTTCTGTTGGGACTAAAAATATATGATCCTGATAAATGACATACGTGTGGAACGAAACAATTCCACCCTGACGTTTTTGGATGGCAACTTTAGTTGTGAAGCATGTCAACTTTCTGTTTGCTTGCAAGTTTTAGTTTTTTTCTGGATTTTTTTTTCTTAAATGACAATTTTAGTTGTAAAAACGTAAGAATAGTGTTACTTCGTGCCACATGTACACCTGTGGTGCTTATCATTTGGAAAAATATACTAGATCTTTCAACGCCCATCATTTATCCCGAGGCGGCACAAGAAGAATCCAAAACTGAATTCGGTGCATCCGCATTCATCGAATTAGCTTGCATAAGAATCAGCCAGTGGCCTACTTTACACTGGAGATGACCCATGTTCCCCAACGGAGTTGCCATTGTGGAAGGGCGCCAGCCAATAGGAAGCCGCGATCCAGCCAATATGACATCGACAAAAAAACTGTTGGCACATCCCTGATAAACACACAGATTAGTGTGTGCTGCCGTACTTCTCAGTATTTCTCCCAGTTTAGATCCGCGTTTCCCTTTCGCTGCTCCCCTCCGATCCCCAATAAGGCCGGCAGCATGGAGGAGACGCCGCCGCAGCCTCAGGCGGCGCACGCATCTCCTCCGTTCCCGGCGATCTTCACCCCTCCGAGCGCTCTCTCCTCGACGTCCTTGCGGGGCAGCCCCACCGTCCCCAGCCCCGCGCACTTCAGCACGCCACCGGGCCCGCCCGTCTTCTCCTCGCCGCTGCGCCCCGCCGCCGTGCCATTCCGCACCACCCCGATCTCCCCTCAGGCGGTACCCTTGGCCTCCCGCACCGCCTCCTCATCGTCCTCCGTCTCCCTCCCCACATCCTCCGAGCCGCACACCATGAACGGCGCGGCCACCCCTCACAGCCACGCGCCCTCCGTGGCGCCGTCTCTGGAGGACTCCAGCATCGACTCCCCATACGTCCTCTTCTCTGCCCGCAAGGTACGCGTCGCTCTTTCCTTACCGCAGTAATGTCCTCACATCTCCTATAACTCAATTATGCATGCGCATAAGTACATTACCATTTGGATCTTACACGATTACACTACTAGTCGAGTTGTGAATTACGCTTGTTTTTTAGATGCGAATCGTGTTTAGTGCATAGGCATGTGCAAATTCTCCAGCTTGTCATTTAGTTGGTGTTTTTCACTTGTAGGTCCTGAAGCAGAAGAAACTGCTGAATGCCCCTAGCTTGGGGTTCGGAGCTCTTGTTTCACCAGGGAGGGAGGTATCGCCAGGTCCCGAAGCCTTGGAGCGTGATCCCCGCCGGTGCCTGAACTGTGGGGCTTATGTGAATTTGTACTGTGATGTGTTGATTGGCTCTGGGCAATGGCAGTGTGTCATTTGCAAAAAGCTGAACAGCAGTGAGGGGGAATTTGTGGTCTCCAGCAAGCAGGACCTGGTTCAGTGGCCAGAGCTCATGTCCTCGACTGTCGATTATGTGCATCCAAGGAATAGGCGGCCAGGCTTGATCCCGGTGCCTGTCTTGAGGGTCTCTGGTCCCATTTTTATTCTCATAGATGAGTGTCTTGATGAGGCGCACCTGCAGCATCTACAGGGCTCCTTGCATGCATTTGTGGATTCGCTCCCTCCTACAGCAAGGATTGGAATCATCTCCTATGGTAGAACTGTCTCTGTGTATGATTTTTCGGAAGGGGCGGCGGTGTCAGCGGATGTGTTACCCGGTAGTAAGTCGCTTGCCCAAGAGTCATTGAAGGTGCTAATCTACGGGACAGGGGTGTATTTGTCTCCTATACATGCTTCGCTGCCTGTTGCACACACAATATTCTCATCCCTGAGACCCTATCAGTTTAGTGTGGCGGAAGTATCGAGGGACCGATGCCTTGGTGCAGCGGTGGAGGTTGCCCTTGGTATTATTCAAGGGCCGTCAGCGGAGTTGTCTCGTGGAATCATCAAGAGATCAGGAGGCAACTGCAGGATCTTGGTGTGTGCTGGTGGCCCCAACACGTTTGGACCAGGATCAACACCTCATTCTGTTCAGCACCCAAACTATGCTTACCTGGAGAAGACAGCTATGAAGTACATGGAGAGTCTTGGTCATGAAGCACGGAGACACAGTACCATCGTTGACATTCTTTGTGCTGGAACATGCCCTGTGAGGGTTCCTGTCCTACAGTCACTGGCGAAGTGTTCTGGTGGTGTGCTTTTACTTCATGATGATTTTGGAGAGGCCTTTGGGGTCAACTTGCAGAGGGCGTCAACTAAAGCAGCTGGCTCTCATGGCTTATTTGAGATTAGATGTTCAGATGGCATGCTTGTCACTCAAGTAATTGGTCCTGGTGAAGAGGCTTCTCCTGATTCTCATGAAACATTCAAGCATGACACTTCATTTTGTATCCAGATGCATAGTGTTGAGGGGACACAGAGTTTTTCCGTGTCTTTGGAGACAAAGGCGGATATCAGGAATGATTTCATTTACTTCCAGTTTGCAGTCCGTTACTCTAATGTGTATCAAACAGAAAGCACAAGGGTGATCACTAGCAGGCTGCAAACGGTTGATAGTTTGTCTGCATATCTTTCAAGTGTGCAAGAAGATGTAGCTTCAGTAATCATTGGTAAGAGAACTGTCTTGCGCGCCAGGACTGCCTCCGATGCTCTTGATATGAGGCTCACAATTGACGAAAGAATTAAGGACATAGCTCTCAAATTTGGTACCCAGGTTCCAAAATCAAAGCTTTATCGGTTCCCAAAAGAGCTGTCATCACTCCCTGAGTGTTTGTTTCATTTGAGAAGGGGGCCACTCTTAGGTAGCATAATAGGACATGAAGATGAAAGATCAGTTCTGAGGAGTTTGTTCTTGAATGCATCATTTGACCTCTCGCTCCGTATGCTTGCACCTCGTTGTATAATGCATCGAGAAGGTGGCACATTTGAGGAGCTGCCAGCATATGATCTGACCATGCAATCTAATTGTGCAGTGGTACTGGATCATGGAACAGATATTTTCATCTGGTTGGTAAGTCACCTCCTATCTTCCCTCTCTCCCTCCCCACTCCCAATAAGGGAGTCACCTGTATGGTCTGTCTCTTTACCACATTATCTCAGTGCTGTAGCTGCATATTAAACTTACTCCATTCACCTTTGTTTTCAACATTCTTGACATAATATTTTTTTCACTGGTGTTGTCTTTTGGATTAAATGTTTTGGCTTCGGAATTGTAGCTGTTGAACATGACTTTGTTCTTGATTGCTACTGGTCAAAGTGTGTGAGGTTTGACATTTCCAAAAATTATACGCACTACATTATGGAACAGAGGGATATTTGAATAGAACGTGACTTCCTTTTTGCAAGGAAAGAAATGAAGCATGGGATTTTAGCAATATCATGTTTGCAAAAACTAACTTGTTACCAGGATTGTGAGTTTATGTAATAATCATAAGATTTTGCAAGAAATAGAGTGAATGGAGTTTGAAAGGTGAATTCGTTGGAACTATTAAATTTTCAATAGAAGCCAGTTGGTGGTTAGAACGAATATAGAGATCTCATGAATGTATGTGTGTAAATGATGCTAATACTCCCTCTGTATCAAAACTATAAGACGTGTTTGTAAGCTAGTTTAACCTACAAAAACGTCTTATATTTTGGTACAGAGGTAGTACTTGATATACTAGGGCTGCAGGAAGATGTCATATTTTGCTGATTTACTTAACGTATTAATGATGTTGAATTATCATTATGCAATGGCTATTTTGGTTATTCATCATAATGCTAGCAAAGAGTAATATTTCCTGAGTTGCATTTTCTTACTGTGTGTCTTCAGGGTGCTGAACTAGCAACCCAAGAAGGACAAACTGCAGCAGCTTTGGCAGCATGCCGTACGCTGGCAGAAGAGCTAAGTGAACTCCGTTTTCCAGCTCCCAGGATACTTTCATTCAGAGTCAGTTTCCCTGTTCCCAACCTTGACTTTGATTTCCAAGATTTAAACTGCTTTCCTTCCTTTTCTCTTATCAACTCTTCTGCTCATCACTTTGCTATCATCATAGTATCATATCTTATTATAGCCCATGTGTTGTTAGATTTCAAATCAGTCTGACAATACTTCCAAATTCATTAACTGTGCAACTATCATGAAACACGACTTGCACAAGGTAAATGCTTTGTTCTGGCGCAGGAAGGGAGCTCTCAGGCTAGATACTTTGTCTCACGCCTGATCCCAGCTCACAAGGACCCTACTTATGAGCAGGTAATGATTCTCTTAACCTTAGCAGTGACATTCTGGTTCGCCTGCATTCATCCCTGCTGGGTTATTTCGCTGATGGTTCTTACGGCAGCTAGATTCATGGTCACTGATAAACAAAATCGTGAGCAAGGCTGTAATTGTTAACATGAGCACATTTGCATGTTTCAGGAGTCGAGATTTCCTCAGCTACGGACCCTTGCTCCTGAACTGAGGGCCAGGCTAAAGAGCTGCTTCATCCACTTTGATGACCCTAGCTTTTGCGAGTGGATGCGCAGCCTCAAATTGGTCCCGCCGGAACCAAGCTAATGCAAATAATTGGACGAGTGCAATCAGAAACGATATTTGATAGCTGAGGTTTGGTTTCAAACAGAGTTGCCAAACGAAATCTGAAAACTTTGCGAGGTAACGCCTAAGGCCCAAACACTTGTTTGGGTTGATGAAGCGGCAATTTGTGTGAAGTGAAGCTGTATAATTTTGCCTGATTATTTTCTCTGATGTGGTCGCGTAAATGCATTATCTCTTGCCACACAGGCGCGCAAAATTTTAGACAATTAGAGCATCGCTTATGTTCTCCTGCCTTTGAAGAGTTTGTTGTATGTCACATAATAGAAGTCTGTCCTGGCCATTCATTTGATTCCTTTTACTCCTCGAGGCGAATCTCAATTCTCCATTTGTACAACTTTTTTGTTTTGTTTTGAGAAAGTCCATTTATACAATCAGAGATACTGCATTTCAACAGTGTTGCTTAGTGTTTACAGCATTGCATTTGTTCTTGATTTGTGGTTGTAAGTGATATATCGTGAAAAATGAATTAGTGATTTCACGCGCAGCTGACACTGGTCGCTGGTCTCCATGGGGATCAATGCCACAGAAGTATGTGCACGTGTATGAGCCATTTTGCAGTCATTTATGAACAGGTATTCGTTAGTCACAGCTGGCACACGGGCCCAGGAGCCTTTTTAGTCTCACAGATGCCATGGCCCAGCAGTACATGGGCGGGGGTCTTAGGGCATGTACAATGGAGGCAGCACTTTGGTGCTGCCCCGGCCATTGACATAGATAAATTTCAATGAAGCTACTCGTGTGTGCCATAGTCACCCAGTGAAGCTACTCTATGTGATGTCATCATCTTACTTTTTCTCTCTCACATACTTTCAAACACATGAAACCTTCACTACAATTTAACAATACCAGCAGACATTTGAATCAACGATATCAACAAGCTTGCATATTGAAAGTTATCGAAAAACTTGATTTCTATACAAAAATAAGCAATGTTGATATCCAACAGTAGCAAGTATGTCTTGTCCATGACACTAAAAGTTCCACAATAATAAAATAATGTAAAGGTTTCCAAATACTCATAAAGGCACTAGTACAAAATTGGGATTTAACATCGGTTCGTGAGGCCCTTTAGTGTCGGTTCCGGTTCTGGAACCGACACTAAAGGGTGGGGACTAAAAGTCCCCCCCCCCTCCTTAGTTCCGGTTCAACACGAACCGCCAGTAAAGGGCTACCATGTGGCACGAGCCCGCGTCGGGGCTGGGAGACCTTTAGTACCGGTTGGTGTAAAAGGTTTAGGGGTTTTGATTTTATGATTTATTTTTCCTTTAATTTTGTGTCTTTCATTTAATTTTTTTTATTTGCTGGTATTTTACGATACTACATAATGTACATGTTATGCACATATATAAATATAATTTCTCGTAGAATCGATCATATATATATATATATATATATATATATATATATATATATATATATATATATATATATATATATATATATATAGTGTTACTGTTCATCACCCAAGGTGCAGAATAAGTTATTCTTCACCCGAGGTAATCTTACGATCATTTCATAATTAAATTATGTTTCGAATTCAAATAGTTACATTTCTATTGATTCACTACGTAAAATTTGACATAAGAAAATAAAAATATAGGTCATAAGACAAGAAAATTTGCAGTTTATGTGTATTTTAGACTATGTTTTTACGTTTGTAATTTTACATAACATAAAATATTTTTTACGGCGATTGTGTATTTTCTTACTGTCCCTTTTTTCGTCGGAAATAAGACAAAACTTATGGAACGTAAAATTACGATGCATTGATGATAAAATAGAGGGGGAGGGTGAAAAATAACTATTCCTTACCTAGGGTGACGAATAGCGCGACCTATATATATATGTATATATATAGTGATACTATTCATCACCCAGGGTGCAGAAAAAGTTATTCTTCACCCGAGGTAATCTTATGATCATTTCATAATTAAATTATATTTGGAATTCAAATAGTTACATTCCTGTTGATTCGCTACGTAAAATTTAGTATAAGGAAATAAGAATATAGGTCATAAGATAAGAAAATTTGCAGTTTATGTGTATTTTCCACTATGTTTTTACGTTTGTAATTTTACATAACATGAAATATATTTTTCGGTGATTATATATTTTCTTACGGTCTCTTTTTACATTAAAAATAAGACAAAACTTATGGAACGTAAAATTACGGTGTATTGATGGTAAAATAGAGGGGGTGAAGAATAACTATTCCTCACCCAGGATGACGAATAGCGCGACCCTATATATATATACATACATACATACATACATAAACACTATTCTGATCACAGGATCAGAATAATATTCTGATCACAACTTGAACTGCCTGAGTAACGCGCCTGAACTTCCCTCTGTACGAACCCGACCTTCGTGCTATCTTCGCAACTGTGCCATCTACCGCGAGTTTTTCTGATCATTCGTGTTGTTTGTTATGTAAGTGTAATTTGCAATCAGTTTTTAGCAACCAAATGCCCGTTTTAAATAGGAATTCCGGTCATTGGCGGATTTGCTCTCGGGGTGGTGATGAACTTGTGTATGTAACAAGTTTAATGCATGCTGTGGATGTTGTCGAAGCTCTGGCACGATGGGAATTAGGTTTTGGTATGAGTTTGGTGCACAAATTCTTGTTATTTCAAACAAATTTGAAATCGCCCGTGTTCTTCATCCGCCTGAGCTGCAGCCTGCGCTTCTGTTGATTTCTCGTTTTTCTATAAAGTTTGCTGGCTGATTTGCGTACTTTAGTGAAATTCAAGGCTTACTAAGTCGTCAATTTTAATCGGGAGGGTCCATACGGTTTGATTTCTAGCGATTTGATGTTAGCACTCCCACGGGTTTTTGCACAGGTTATTTTTGCGGTTTTGAAATTTGCCCTCTCGTCATTTTGGTTGTGGAAAGGGAGTTGCCAGATCATTTCCAAGGGGGTGCGGACCTGTTGTAATCTTGTGCAGATGATTTTATGCTTTGGACGAATTCGTTTGTTCATTATTTCTAGATCATCTAATGGTCGTTGTACAAGTTGGACTTCTGCGTTGTCATACCTGAACTTCTGCTTTTCCTTCGTTGGATCCTGTCGGGGCTGGGGCAGATCAGGATCGGGATTGGGGGAGGATCAGGTGGATCCTGTGGGTCTGGCCGGGTTTCTGTGCTGGACTTCTGCGTTTTCATACCTGAACTTCTTCTTTTCCTTCGTTGCAAGGTAATCCAACAAGTCCTTTGTATTTCTTTCCTTTTTTCTGTCAGTTTTCATTCTTGCATTGTTTTGATTTTTTTGACTAAGCCCATGAGTGACCATGGAATTAATTGGCCGATGGATATGCATATATTTTTTCTGTTTTTTCTAGTTTGTTTTCGTACTTCTAATAGTTTGCTGGACTTCACTTATGCCTCGCGGAGTCACAAGAGAAGCACATATTTATATAAATTTACTGATTTACGAAGCTAATTATTGAACTTGCCTTGTTTAAAACATTTGATTAGTTAACTTACGCCTCGTGCATTTTGTTTCTTCGACACTAAAAATTATTATTCCTAAGGTGTTTCTTTCTTGGTTTTTTATGTCACATCAATGAAACTTTTCATGAATGCAGGTCCATCTTTTTTGACATTGATATTCTAGGACAGATTACATTCCAGGAATCAAAAACCCTTACTAGATTTCTTCTGCAATTTGTTGTAGCTAGTGTGTAAGTGTGGAGCTGGACCACAGACACATGCATCCTCTTTTACCTTAGTCTATGTTTTGGTATAGTTTTTTGATCATCCACTATCTTCAGTAGGATCTGGACCTTTTTTTATTAATGGTTGAACTTCTGGTTTTCCAGATTGCATTCCACATTTTGCAAGGCGAAGGTGCATGGTGCTCTATATTTCTTTGTTTGGTTTCCTTTGTAATTTTAATTCTTCAGATGTTGTTTTTAGACTTTTGTCTCATGAGCAATCATGGGATTAGCCCAAGTATGCATGCACTTTTTCCAGATCATCTAAGGGTCATTGTAGAAGTTGGACTTCTATGTTGTTCGTACATGAACTTCTGCTTTTCCTTCTTTGCAAAGTAATACAGCAAGTCCTCTGTATTTCTTTCTTTTTTATGTTATTTTTCATTCTTTGCGTTGGTTTGGATTTTTTTGACTTAGTCCCATGAGCAGCCATGGAATTGGCCGACGGATATGCATATTTTTTTTATTTTTTCTAGTATGTTTTTGTACTTATAATAGTTGTTGGTCTTCACTCAATAACTATCCTGAACTTCTGTATGATAATCATTTTTAACATGTTAATTTGAGGTTTTAGAAAATATAGAGTGCGTGCGGTGGAGGTGGAAACATAATAACCGCATTGCGTCCTGTCAAATCCT